CTCTACCACTTGAGCCACAGCACCACTTCTGGCTTTTTTCTTTTTGCTTATGTGGTGCTGAGGAATCGAACCCAGGGCCTCAAGCATGCAAGGCAAGCGCTCTACCACTGAGCCACCTTCCCAGCCCCCAAGTCATTTTCTTATACATATGATATCCTATTGCAAAGAATTCTATGTGCTTTGGAATCATGTCCTAATAAAATGGTATAGAGTCATATTTTTGAGGATGCATATTTTTAGGGTAATTGGACACATGACTGAGGATGAAAATTTTGACTCTAAGGAGCAATAGAAAACAGTTTCTTTGCAATTAATATTAAAATAACATTTGCCTAGTACTTTCTCAGGTAAAGCCTCTGAGAGGTAGTTTTAACCATGATATGTCATTGACTCACTGAGTCAAATGATTTTCCTTATTGCATAAGTTTTATGTAACCCACCATGTGGATAATATTCCATAGACTTCCATAGACTTCTTTATATTAGTAATATGTAGTGTCGTTGCAAAGATTTAAAGCCATTCAATAATATCTGAGGAAATGAATTAGGTGCTTAACAAGAACACAAAATCAGGCACACATAAAGCAGATCAAAGGCTAATGGTTAAAAATCATACATGGGAGCCAGACATGGTGGCATTAATCTGTAATCTTAGGTACTTGGGAGGCAGAGATCTGAGGATCAAAGTGGCTGAAGTAGTAGTGCACCAACCAGGCAAGCGTGAGGTCCTGAGTTCAAGCCTCAGTTCCCACAAATGAACACACAGCAAATAAGTAAATAATTACAAAAATAAACTTTACCCTGGTTCTAATCCCCAGTTACAGGCAGAGATAAGACCTCTCATCTCAGCTTGGAGAAAGGCTAGCTCTCTTAGGCCTTTCATATTGAGGACACCTTGTTTCAAACCCATCTGGTGGACTGAACCAATCTCCTAATAAAGGGACTATATGCAAATCCTACATTATAAAGATACAGTCACATAGCAAAGCAGAGAAAAGTATTTTCTTCTATAAAGACTACAATGTAATGTTACCTTTCTTCACTAATGCCATGAATTAATCATGAATATTGATTCGATTTTTTTGTAACCTTTTGTTCTGTGTTCAAATCAGGTTGTAAAACTCTCAGATCAATGTTTGTATTGGGAAAATCTAGAGTTTTAAAGATTATTGTCTCTCATAGAACTTTTTAAAGACAGCATCTTGACTTATTTTCTAGTACTCAACATAGTGAATGGTCTAAACCCTTGAAATTCTGTTTTAAAGCTTGATGTAAATCTGTTTTCATTTCTTTACCACTATGTCATTTTCACCTTTATTCCCAATATTTATAAGAACAGAGCACAATCTTCTTTTCAGGATGCATTATAAGCTACTTATGGTAAGATTTCAAATAAATAAATCTGGTCCATCTATAAAAAAGAGTTGAACCATCCAGCCTGCTGGATACAGACAGGCCAACACATATAGATATAGAGAAAAAATATGGGCTATTTTTTTCAATTTTGTATTCTTACCATGTTCATAGTCTCTGAGTGTTTTATTAGAATATTCTCTTAGGAGCTCATAGGGAAATATAATAAAAATCATGATATACCTTTCAATTGATATTGCCTTTTGGTTCAACTCAGTGGGTATCAGATTTTCAGAGTAGTTCACTAGGATATGAAGATGTATAGTTCATCCAAATTTAAGTTTGTTGATGTCTATATAGAATGAAATAGTGCAAGAAGGTAGGATAGCAAGAGAAGTTTAAATTAAAAAGTCCTTGATAATTTGTGAATTGTCCAGATATCATCAGAACCACCCAAAAAAGTCAAATATGAAAGATGCAATTTATAACAGTCAACCAGTGTCAAGAGAGACCTCTGCATCTCTTGTATCATGATGAGTTTACTCTTGTCATGTACATGTCAGACCATTCTGCAAATTGGAGTTAGGGGGTGGATCCATAATCTTGTTGAGTCTCAGAAGTCAAGAGACATATTCTTAGGAAATAGACATTGGGATAACATATTTTGTGACAGAGATTGAGATGACTGAAATTTGCCTTGGAAGCAGAAACCCTCCCCCATGAAACCCTCCATGTTCTTCCTGATGCAATCCATTCCAAAGCCATCTTTTCTTTTCTTCTCAGGTTATCAGCCAGTCCTGTCTGGACAGCAGGGGTTCCAAGGCCTGATGGGAGTACAGCAGCCTCCTCAGAGTCAGGGTATGGTGAACAATCAGCCAGGAGCTCCTGTGCAAGGCATGATGGTCTCCTACCCAACCATGTCCTCTTATCAGGTGCGGGTCAGCAGCTTGGAAATTTGTGGGTTACAAAGTAGCACTTGTCAACTGAGAAGCTATGGGAAATGCCCTGTGTTGGATGGTTGGTTGAGGAGTAAGTAAGCACTTGGCTGAGCCTTTTCTGTGAATTGACTTTGAATCAAGATCAACAAAGGAAAGCAGAAATTAGGAAAGGTATACTTCTATAACTGCTATGACTTATAAAAATGTAGCTAAATTTGTTTCCCTATAAATTTGCTACTTATAGAAGAAAATTCATTAAACTTCTATTTCTATAGGCCTTTTGGCATCTTACTAAAATTTCAATTACTGGTAGAAAACACCATGGCAAATTCCCAGTGTGTGTGTGAGAGAGAGAGAGACAGAGACAGAGACAGAGAGAGACAGAGAAAGAGAGAGAGAGAGAGTGAGTGAGTACTGGGCTTAAACTGAACTCAGGGCCTGTGCACTGTTCCTTCAGTTTGTTGGTTTGTTTGTTTTTTGCTCAAGTTAGTACTCTGCCACTTGAACCCTTTCTAGCTTTTTGATGGTTAATTGTAGACGAGAATCTCAGGGACTTTTCTGCTGAGGTTGGCTATAAACCACTATCCTCAGATCTAAGCTTCCTGGGTAACTAGGATTACAGTCCTGACTCTCCCAGTAATTTTATACTTTCCCAAAGAAACAGCATTATACCATGATTTTATTAATAGAGATTTTTAAATGCTATCTCATGTTTACTTAAAGGATATTTATGAGGATTAGCATCCTCACTTTCAGACTAAATTCAACTTGAGTTTTTCAAAAGTGTCGTGCATCTTTTTGTGATTTGACTCCTGAAGTACCCTGAGAGTAGATATGAAGAGTTAGTGGAAGGCCTTGACCGTTAGATTTAGAGTCATCAAGTACTTCTGGCATAAAGCACTGCTCCTCAACCCTCTTACCCTGAACAAAGCTCCTTTGATTATGACACTCCAAGGAACTTTATTTGCATAGAATCAGAAAGGGGGGGGTGTCATAGCTTTCCACACAGGAAAAAACAAACAAAAAACAGAATGGGAATTCCCAGTGCAGGCTCTGGGAAGGGGGTGGAGGGAGGAGAGAAAGATGCTCCAGATTAACCTTCCAGCATCTGCTGCATGCTGGACCTTGTGCCCAGGCCCTGTGCACCATCCCTAAAATGGTCTTGATGTTTTTTTGGTTTTTCAGTTCTTTTTTAAGTTCCATTATCCAGATGGCCTAGGGAATCATGGAGGTAAAGTATCTTTTCCCAATGAGGTACCTGGTAACTAGGGTTGGTAACCTAACTCAAAATCTTGAAGCAATTTCATAATACTTGTCCCTTCACATTGGGCTTTGCTTTGTCTTTCTACAGGTGCCAATGACCCAAGGGTCTCAAGGAGTGCCCCAGCAGACATACCAACCACCAATCATGCTGCCTAACCAGGCAGGCCAGGGGTCACTCCCAGCCACCGGAATGCCTGTGTACTGTAATGTCACACCGCCAACCCCTCAGAACAACCTTAGGCTGCTTGGTCCACACTGCCCCTCCAGCACTGTCCCTGTGATGTCTGCCAGCTGCAGGACAAACTGTGCAAGCATGAGCAACGCCGGCTGGCAGGTCAAATTCTGAACGCAGTGGCTGAGGTGCATTTCTTCAGATATTACTCAAGGCCTTTATGGAAAAAGAGGAGCAAGTTGGGAACACAGACTGAGGACTTAAGTATTCACTCAACACTCCAGTGTTTGCTGCTGGTATTCTCCTGTAAAAAATAAAAAAAATAAACAAAGACTAATACACACTTTAGCTGGTTAATGGTGCATATTTCTGTCATGTCTGCTAGGTATGCCTTTATAGCTTAGCTAGTGACATGAATTCATCAAGGTAAGATTTTCTCCTACCACTGAATACCACTGTGTAGATTACAATATCACCGATTCGGATTAGTTTTGTACTTTGTGTTGAGTTTGTGATGCTAAAAGTATTTAAAAATTATATTCTAAATCGCACTGTACCAAAGCTGTAATGGAAAAGAGAAGAATTGATGAATGGAAGGAATAATTTATATATCCTATAGAGTTTTCTTTTTTTAATGGATATATACTGTATTGTAGTGTTTAACTGAAATAAAATTATTTGACCTTATGGAGGAAGGTCATGTTTTTACCACCAGTTTGATTCAGTCTTTCTTTCAATATAAGTTTCTATATGAGTCACCATTGTCTTCTCTGAGCACCATTTCATGATTTCTGACTGGAAATTGGCTCCTGGTACTTGTGATAGAACTGGCATAACACTAAGATATAGAAGGCAAACACTTAAACTGCACATTATTATAGGAGCCTGAAAATAAGATCACATACGTGTCATTCATTCATCAACTGCACATTTTAACACATAGCTTGCATTTTATTGAAATTCTAAATGCAAGTAACAAGCTATGCTCTATCAGCTAGGAACTAGCTAATGTGGTTAGTAGAAGTAGCCCTATAGATAGCTTTTGTCTTCCTTCACTGGGGCTGTGCCACATACCTAGCAAAGAAGGTATCTTTGTTCAAGAGGAGAATTGAAAGAGGCATATTCAAATTTGGTCATATTGAACAACACTGTGAAAGTGCCACCGATTTTGACAGTGAGTCAGTAACTCAAAACTGCCAGTGTTTGTCCTGATAACTGCAACCAAGATAAACACAGCAATGATTTAGTCACAAAGTTGAGGAATATTTGCAAGAGCACTTAGAAAGGGCTTGTGGCTATTAAGGCCCAAGGGGTTTAATTCCTTGTAGATTGGGCAAGTAAAATGGAGTTATTATAACCTTTAAAAAATAATAACAGCCCAGCAGCCAGTGGCTAATGCCTGATACTCTATCTATTCTAGTTACTCAAGAAGTTGAGATCTGAGGATCATGCTACAAAGCCAGCCAGGCAGGAAAATCTATTAAACTATTTATCTCCAATTAACCACCCAAAAGCTGGAAGTGGTAGAGCACAAGCCTTGAGTAAAAAAACCTTAGAGACAGTACCCAGGCCCCAGGACCAGAATACATGTGTGCATGCAAGTGCGTGCATGAGTGCGTGCATGCACATGCACGCTTACACACACACACACACACACACACACACACACACACACAGGTAATAACAAAACTTTGAGCTCTATTATGCTCCCTGTGTGGAAACCATTTTACCACAAGGGAGTTATGGAAATTATATCTGGAAATTTCCCATTGTTTTTCATATTATCACATATTCTATATTAGGCTTGCTATGTTCACATTATTCACCTTGGAATATGGTTAAGTGGTTAAGAACTGTGCTTAAAAATGACTATTTCTTAGTTTTTATACCATCATTTGCTTTTTTCTTTAAAAGGGAGCTTTTAAGGGGAAAAACAAAATGCTTAAATAGGGATACAGGTTGACCCATTTTAACAATGAGATGTACAATACACTTTGTTGAAAACGAACTTTGCAATTTTGGCACTGGTGGAGGGGGGAGGAGAGTAGTTGTGGAGGTGGGAGGGAAGGGATGGTAGGGGAACAAACAAAGGAGGAGGCAACAATGCTTGATAGGAAATGTACTCATTACCTTGCTCATGTAACTGTAACCCCTCTGTACAGTATTTTTACAATAAAAAACAATACATTTATAAAAGAGAACTTTTACAATATTCCACTTAGCACCATTCCTTGTGAAATCTATTCTATTTCCCCAAATCTCAGTCTTCTTATTTCTTTATCATAAATAACCTCTGACCATAAGAACTATCAGAAAACAAAGATGCTCTATTTTTTCTTCTCCTCCATGGAACCAATACCTGCTTTGCGAGAAGACTGTTGGTCAGTTGGCCCAATAAATAAATTTTCCAATAGAAAGAGAGTGTTTGCCAGTATAGATTCATTTCTAAAAGGCATTTTCTACTTAGCCTTTCCACTTTGGTGCTGATCCCAAACTTAGTGATCTAAATGAGTTGAAATGTTTATTTTCTTCCCATAGAAGTTTTGGCCTTTAATGACTCTTAGGTTAGAAATGCCTTTTTTTCTATTGACTTAATATATATTCTTTTCTAAAGGGGTTTAATCTAAAGACAGGTCCTTTAAAAAATGTTATGTCATTCAGATACTGTTTTAGACCAAGCCTTCTTCCCTATGTTCACTAAATAGTTATATCTAGCATTATATTATAATATTATTAAACATTAAGTTACTCTTTCTGCTACCTTGCTTTAGAATATTTCAGGTGGTTAAGTAGGTGATAGTTTTGTTAGTACAACATTTTCAGAATTTACAACCAAGACAACATTGGTTAATAATTTTCATGATGGGTAATACTTTTGTCATAATCACATTTTAGTCAGATTACTTGCTTCATGTGCTTATAAAGAGATGAATGTTTAGATATTTAAACACATAAATACATAGTTACTGCTAATAATATTCTATGGCTGTGTAAATATACAAGGTACAAGACTGATTTATAATCAGTTATTCAACAAAATCACATTACATAGTTGATTATATCCTAATTATGTTGCAGCATTCAAAACAAGATTACAAATAAATTTAAAGTACTTGGTTTTATATTTATGAATTGTATTCTGACTACACTTTGATAGCAGGAACTTTATGTTCTAACTAGGTTATCAGTATTTTTGTTGTTGTTGTTGTTTTGTATTGTTTTTCTATAAAGCAAGATCCTGTCTCAAAAATAAGGAAAGAGAGTAAGGGAAAGGTGGAGGAGGAGGAGGAGGAGGGAAAAAGAAGAGGAAGAGAGAGTGAAAGAATCTCTTGATTTTGAAGGATATTGACAAAATTGTCTTCATGGAAGGAACGCAAATTTATATTCCCATTAGTGATACATAAATAGAATGTCTGCTTCCCACATCTCTGCAGAACCCAGATCAAATCCAGATCCATGTGCTTACTAGGCAAGCGCTCTTCCACTAAGCTAAACCTCTGGCCCAAGAATATTCCATTTTTTCTCACTTTATTAGCATGTATTTATTGTACACCCATACTACCTATAATGAGCTTTGATTAAATTCATACCCTATATTACTTTCTTTTAAAAATTTATTTATTGCTATTATAAATGTGATATAGAGAGGGATTACAATTACGTGAGTCAGGTAATGAGTACATTTCCTTTTGGACAGTGTCTTCGGTCCCCTCTTCCCCAGTTCCTCCTTCCCATCTGCACGCATGAGTTGTATAGTTCAGTGAGCCCTACTGCTGTATTTTTTCACCCTCTTTCCCTCAAGCTCTGTACCCTCCCCAACCCTCCTGATGATTTATATACAAATACAACAAACATGAAGAGAAGACAAAATCATCAAAAAATTGAAAAAAAAAGAGAAATCTCTTGCTTTCTCAGGGTTTATCTCTCCATGCCTTCCCCCTCTTTATGTACATATATAGAGAGAGAGAGGTTTTGTATATATATATATATATATATATATATATAGAGAGAGAGAGAGAGAGAGAGAGAGAGAGAGAGAGGGAGGGAGGGAGAGAGAGAGAGAGGTGTATGTAGAGATTGTGCCTTGGTGTTTCTCTCCTAAGATTGTCCTGTTTTGGTCTCACTGTGTATGTGTGTCTAGAATCATGTATAATTTATCATACACCAGTGTATTTTTAGATCTAATTTCTTCATATCAAACAGAACATGTACTATTTGTCTCTCTACGCTTGGCTTACCTCCATTAGCATGATATGTTCTAGTTCCATCCACTTCCCTGAAAATGACACAATTTTATCCTCTTTCTTTTATTTTTATTGATTGATTGATTAATTTTTTGGTCAGTTAAGGGGCTTGAACTCTGGGCCTGGGCACTGTTCCTGAGCAATTCAGCTCAAAACTAGTGCTCTACTTCTTGAGCCATAGCACCACTTCCCATTTTATTTTAGTGGTTAATTGGAGATAAGAATTTCATGGACTTTCCACCCGGGTTGGCTTTGAATTGCAATCCTCAGATCTCAGCCTCCTGAGTAGGTAGGATTACATGTGTGAGCCACAGGCACCCGGCTTAGTTTTATTCTTTTAAATAACTGCATAAAATTCCATTGTATATAGGTACACATTCTTTTTGGATCCAGTCATCTGTGTGGGACATCAGGGCTGTTTCCATATCTCAGCTATTGTGAATAGCACAGCCATAAACATGGTTGTGCAGTTGACTTTATTATACTGGCTCCTGGTGTTCATAGTAGATGCCGAGGATGTGGTTTGGCTAAGTCATAGAGATCTATGTTTATATTTTTGAGGAAGCTCCAGATTGCTGTCCAGAGTGGTTGTACTAGTTTACATTCCCAACAACAGTGCAATAACATTCCTTTTTTCCCACATCCCTGACAACATGTGTTGTTTTTAGAATGCTGCCACTCTAACTGGAGTGAGATGGATTTGCATTTCCTTTATTATCAGGGATGATGAGCATTTCCTCATGTGCTCATGTGTTTCTTTGCCATTCTTACTTCTTGTTCTGAGAAGTATCTCCTTAGCTCTTTTTCCTATTTAGTGATCGGCTTATTAGGTTTGGGAGGGGTTAGTTGCTTGAGCTCCTTGTATATACTGGATATTAGGCCTTGTCTGATATATTGCTGGTAAAGATCTTTTCCAAGTTTGCTGTCTGTCTTTCTAGTTTAGTAACTATATCTTCAGCTGTGCAGAATATTTTTTTTATTTTGATGTAGTCCCACTTGTCAAGTCCTTCTCCTATCTGTGGGACCCCTGGGACTCTCTATTCTAGAAATTTGTACCTATACCAATAAGTTCTAATGTTTCTATCACTTTCTCCTAAAGCAATTATTAAGTTTCAGGTCTGATATTGAAGTCCTTGATCCATTTTGAATTGATATTAGTGCATGGTAACAAACAAGGATCCACTTTTAGCTTTCGTCATATAGATGCTCACTTTTCCCAACACCAACTATTAAAGAGGCTATGTTTTTCCCACTGGTTTGTCTTTGGCCACTTCATCAGCTTTAAGCATATGGTTTATTTCTGGGTCTTGTTTATTCCTTTGATCTTCAAGTCTACTTTTAGGACAGTACCAAGCTGTTTTTGTTATTATAGCTCTGTAGTAGAGCTTGAGGTCTGATATGTGATACCATCTGCATTACTTTTTTCCCCTAGAACTACTCTGGATCTTCTAGGTCTTTTGTTGTTCATATAAATTTTGGG